ACCACCACAAAAGTCACAAATTCCGCACCTGCTTCTGGAGAGGATATGTGTATGAGGTTATGCATGCAAGGGAGGACTCTGCCAAGATTGCTGAGGAAGGGACCACCAAAGTCATGCTCGGACTTTCAGGAACATCCAAGCGGATCATAGCATTGTCACCTGTGCAGGATTATATATGGCGACCCACTGAGTACGAGCACATGCCACTATATGACTGGGTCAGATTGGCAGATAAACAGCGCATCAAGCACCGCAAAAAGGGTCCCAAGAAATCTGAAGAGGATGTCACTGAGCAAGCCGACGTGGACTCGGAGTTTGAGGACAACTATGATATCAGTGATGCAGAATTGAAGGGTGCTGGAGCCAATGAAGAAGAAGAAGAATCTGAGGATGAACTCTTGCTCACAAAGACATCAAACCAGGAGCTTGAAGCAGATAGCGCACCTAAGCCCAGGAAATCCAGGTCAAAATATGTGCAGTTCCATGAAAATCATCCACAGTATGACACCCATCATGTGAAGCTGCTGGACGAGTCTGAGGCATATGTTCCCAACTTTATTGGTGGTTCACTCCCCAGAAGAGATGCAGGCAACCGTGAACAATACTGCATGACCATGCTCACACTCTTCAAGCCTTGGCGCACAGGACAGGATCTGAGACCAAGCCAGGATGTGCTCTGGGATGATGTGTTCAATGGCTATTCATTCACAGAGCAGCAGCTGGAGGTCATGAAATTCTTCCATATCAAATATGAGTGCAATGATGCCAGGGATGACTATTCTGCAGCTCATAAAAAGGGATGGAAGACTGGTCCTTCCTGGGATCCAAAGTCTGTCATGGCAAAGTTGGGAATGACTGATACCTGATCACGGGAAATGGACAGGAAATTCCCATCGGGCATCTTGCACCTGATCTTGCGTGACTGGTGGCTGATGGGCACTACATTCTCTGGCAATCCATCCAATTTCACAGTGGTAGGTAGGCGCAGCAGTGAGCTTGACAAACAGAGTTTCCAGGGCTTCCTTGTCCTCGCTGATGGGTCTGGACTTCCAGCCAACAACCACACCCTCTGCTCCATTGGTCACACAGCATTCAGTTGCCTCATTGATCTTGATCATCACTGGCATGCCCACACACAGAGTCAGTTTGCCTGGCAAATGGTCAGTGAGGGTGTGCGACAAATTCCACAGACAATCCTGGAGCTCGGCACTGAGAATATTGGTGGACCTTTGAGGGTTCATGGTCTGTCTGCGCTGCTTTTTGGTCGCATTGTCATCTGCATTGGCTGAGAGCTTGTCCACAGAATAAAATGTAGTCAATGGTTGGCCATTTTCCCTTGCAAACCTCTCACATCCCAGCTCATTGATTTTATCTCTGTGTGTGTTCCAGGCAGTAATAATAGACACATTGCGGAAGCATGGCTGGTTCAACTTGGGTCTACCTCGACCACGTCCTGCAACACGCGACTGGAGAAGTTTGACATCCTCAGGTGTACACGATTTGTATCTCAGATTCTCTAATGCTGTCCTGAGCTTGGCATCGTTGGCACCCTGTGACCGCTGTCTCATATTCTCGCGCAGAATGACAACAGTGGTGAATTGATGCCACAATGCCTTGCCTATGGATGCCTGCTGGTGTGCATGACTGTGGGTCCGATGGATGACACGTCCAACTTTGTGCGAGTACAGTGCATTTCCACTCATGGCTGGGGGCAGCTGTGCAAAGTCTCCTGCAAATATCATGTTGATCCCACCAAAGGGTGCCCCATCATTCTTCAGTGCTGCACACATCTTGGCACAAATAGTATACACACTTCCGCAGTCCACCATGCTGATCTCATCAATGAACATGTACTCCACATTCTGCAGGCGAGCGCGCACTTGGAGCAGGGTTAGCCACAGAGTCTGAGGATGCATTTTGTCTGAGTCCTAGCATGGAATGGTATGTAGATCCTCCAATAAGCGCTGCAGCAGATCCAGTGGGGGCCATGCACATAAACCGGTAGCTTTCCTGGCGAGCAGCAAAGAAGTGTGTCAAAGCTTTGATGACCTGTGACTTTCCTGTCCCTGCCATGCCCCCGAGGTACATTTTGAGATGCTCGCCATTGGACTCTACAGCATGGTTTGCAACAATGCGGAAGGCTCTCTCCTGCGCTTCATTCAGACTGAATTCCTTGGCAGTGGTGTCAATAAGCGCCTGAGCCTCCTGGTCTTGTGCCTTGAATGCTTTGCTCATATAGTATGACCTGTCAATGACCTTGACCTCATTGACTTCATCATTGACTGGCAGTGTACTCGCATTGGCAGGTCTCTTCAGTGCAGCCTGGGCATCTCTGGCATCCAGTATCTCTTGGCGCTTGGCAGCAAGCACATTCTTCCAGTCTGCAGAGCTCATATCTTCCTTGCTGTTGAACTTTGATGGCAGTTCAGAAGTGTTCTTCTCTTTCATGGGGTCTAGCCAGCCTGAAGCCTGGATGATTTGTTCGGCCTGCAGCATCTGTGTGCGTCTGCTTATTTCTGCATTGCTCAGCTCTGTCCAGTCATTGGTCCGCAGCACCATCTCCTCAATCTCGCTGATGTTGAGTTCCCCATCATC